GAATTTATAATAAATATGGAAGCACCTATATTGACATATAAGGCATTAGCTAAAATAGCATACTAGTATTTAACAAGCATAATCCATGTTAATTTTGATGTTTTTTTTTTCAAAATGAAACACTAATATTTTACAATCGTAGAACTCTCATACCTATCGTACTATTCTTCTTTCTCGACGACATTGTAGTGATGTAAGATAAGATATGCCTTGCTTTCCTCTTCCTATAGAATATGCCCTGTAACCTTTTCCCATACTATATAAAGAACTAAGCACTGATCAAAGCTATGCTTTTATAAAGTAATTACATCAGGTGCATCATGATAAACGCATATATAAAAAGTTTACGTCCCCTTTGGCATACTTTCACAAAAATGTGAAAAAGCAAAAGGCATTTTGTAAAAAAAAAAATTAAAAAAGTATCCATTTAAGTTATTTGAATAGTTTTCATATCATTGAACACAAGTAAATGAGGGACCATGAAAACGTTTTTCTGCAATTCGAAATTTAGTATAGATGGCACGTTGACTTTGGATATTTTCATCTCGTGATCACAGATAAGTGAATCGTCATCATGTTGAGTTTTTGTTGTGTGCTATATTGACATTCCTTTTCACCTTGGTCGTGAGAACTAAATGTGTATTATAATGCAAAGAGTCAAATATTGTTGTTTATACTAGAGAGTGTAGCAATAATTTATTTTTCAGAAAACACAGAATATTTTTTTTTTTCTAACGTATAGCTTTTATATACAGTGAAACCTGTCTAATCCGACATGCACTGGGAGACAAATTTTGTGTCGGAATAGACAGGATGTCGGATTGTACAGTGTTAAAAACAAGGAAATTACTCAAATGGGAAAGAAATTTAACGTCGGAATCCACTGTGTGTCGGAATTTTTCAGGTGTCGGATTGACCAGTTTTCACTGTAATTCTAAAATATACAAATTTTATACGTTGGATATGAATGATGATAACAGTGATTTTAATGTTTGACGAAAGTTGCTGTTCAATAGAACAACTTCATAGACTTTTCTGCTATGTAAAAAAAATTATAAGGCACATACATTTGTAATTCCAGACATTTTTATTGAAGACCTTTGGATGTTCAATATGTCCTTCTGATCTACGTTTTATTGAATTAAAACCACTTTTAATTCTATAGTAAGCATATATACATGTACATATATATATTACATGTAACGAACTTGGATTTCTTTTAATTTGTTCCAGCTTTTTTTTTTTACAAATGTTTATTGAAATGTACTTTTGAAAGATTCTTATGTACCAATATAATTTAATTCTTCAAAATTATAAACAACAATCAGTAGACAAGAAAACTGCACACAATAAAACGCCTTATAATTCTTTTTCTCTACTTGAAAATGTATAGGACCTCAGTATTCCACCGAAGATAATTCATACTTGAATATTGCAAATCTAGGCAATTTAAAAATTTTATCTTCCTAATGACGCATACGAAACTAAGATATAATCTATGTAATGTCTTTAAGTGCATAAAAAACAGCTTTTTATTTTTCTTAATCTGCTATAGAATTCAAATTGAAGGCTTTCAATGATATATATGGAGAATCTAAGCTTTAAAGCCCATTAAAATTACAAAATTGGAGCAAAGCAAACATGGATCTCAAAAAAATCAGAGTAGGGATCAAGTGCCATGGAAATTTCGATTTTCCAAAAAAGTGTCAAAATATCAATATTACATGTAACTTTATATCATCGGGGAAGCCAATTTTTTTTTCAAAATTTGATATAGGCAAACAGCTTTAACAAGTACACAAATCCACGAAATACGATTTTACTTGCTTGTTGGCAGAATATGCAGAAATAGCAATACAAAACTTTACCCTGTTACATTACAGGTAAGTATAGAAAGAAAGATGTCAAGGGAAATATTATCAATAAACAACTTTACAGATTTCAGAGAATATTTCAGAACTTGTTGATTTATTGGAAGAAATATACAGTTTTCATTCTATATCCTGATGTTTGCAGCTTCAATTGTCAGCTTTAATCCATATAGCAATAGTTTGAACGTTAACAGCCTCTAAAATAATGGAAATCAAATATAACAAAAGATAGTTATATATTTATTTAGTCAAATCATACATTCAGGTTACACATTTCAGGCAGGTTATTAAAAAAATGAGTCTTTTTTTTTCAAATACAAATCAATTCATAAATGACATTAACAATATGCTTTAGTTTCTGATTGACAAGATCTATCTGGTTTTTGGAGACCAGGTATTCCAACAATCTATTGGAATTCCTATGGGTGTAAATTAAGCTCTGTTATTAGCAGACTTAATTTTTTATTCATATGAAGCAGAATTTATGCAAAATCTTATGCAGCTTTTGAAAAGATCCGAAAATACGTGCTTGCCTTCAACTCGACAAAAAATATATCTACAAAACTATTGTCAATTAATGATGATAATTTCCATTCCTGATTCCATACGATATGTTGAGCTTGAGACAAACAGCAAAAGCGGGAAATTCTGCTTCATATTTGGATATTTTACTTGAAAAAAAAACACTAATGGTAATCTTACAACCGAGCTATATGATAAACGTGATGACTTAAACTTTTCTATTGTCAACTTCCCTTACTTATGCAGCATTATACCTTCATCACCTGCATACTATATATATCTCAGTTTATTCGATACGCAAGAACATGCTCTACGTATGAACAATTTCTAAAACGAGGTAAATTATTGACAAACAAGTTGATAAAATGAATTTCAGCAGTCTCGTTTAAAATCATCATTTCGTGAGATATATCTATGGACATACAATAACCTTTTCAGAAAATACAATTTATCATTGATTTCAAATGCAACATCACGTTTTTCATATCAATTGTTAGTCCATTATTTATACATTGAATTGACAACGAATTTTTTTTTACCGTTATTTCCTGGTCGACTACGAGCACACGGCGTGTGTGACCGGTTGATATTTTTTTCTCACTCCTCCATGGACCTGAACGACCTCTGATGTTTTGGAGGTCCGTGTTTGAACATCTTATTTTATATATTGTTTAACGGACTTTGAGATTGAATACTGTTCGTTATCTCCATATCCGATCACCTATTTGCTCCAGCAAAGAAATATCTGTGCAAAATGTATAAAAGGTCTATCAATATCCAATCTGCATATTGAAAAGTAAAATATTAACAACGATGCAGATGGTAGTAATTGAAAAGTTTCAATTTAGATAATGTGAAATCTATTTTTTTCCTGCAGGTTTTGTTGTGTTTGTTTTCGAGGTATAATAGGATCCACAACTTCATGTCCCGAACGAATTGTTAAATTTCATATATTACAGCAAATTTTATCAAGGAAAAACCATTCCAAAGGAACGGATATATATTTTCTAAAACAACAACGAAAAAACTTGCCCCACAGAATGTGTTATTCAACATTAGTTTATACTACTTTACCTGACTGCATAACGCAGTGTGTTGCTTTTGGACATACAGAAAAAGCGGGAAATTTTCCTCCTATTCTATCAAAGCCACATCCACCTTCTGGGTAAAAAGAAGAAGCGAACCATCCGTTGTCATTTGGACAACCAGCATGTTCACGGAAGATATAAAATTGACGATTAACACTGTCTCTACAATGAATTAAAAATACAACTTATCAATGCAGTCGTCATAAAGTGGTACATTTTACCATTTTGGTAAAGTCAAAAACAGTTTTACTTTGATTAAACTTATTTATTGCAGACATAATGTGAAGAATTTATAAAATGATTTCTTGTATGTCATCGCTGCTCAAAGAATTAAGTCCCTTGGAGATATATTTATAGACTTCATTGTATTTTTAGAATTATTGCCAGTAAGTTCACAGATTTCAAACAACATCACCAGTACCAATTTCATCTCCAATCTTTTCAAACGTTAGAATACTGGTTTTCTTTATTATTATATTTTGTCACCTAAACGAGTCAAAGTGGTAGAGAGACTTTAAAAAAAATCATATTAATTTCTTGCTTTCATTTGTGAATAAGTAATGAACCTAAGAACAGTCCGAAAAAAATATATCAATTCGAGATGTGTTTCAACTGACAATAAACTTCTCGATGGGTTTTTCCCAGGTTACCCTAAACTACATAAAACCGGTAGGCTAATGATAAAGCTTCGTGATCGGGAGGCCCTGGTTCGATTCTCGTTCACGGCGCCGCATCATACCTAAGACGTAAAGATAGGTAGTGACTGTTCCTTCACCAAGCACGCGGCACTAGAAGTGAAAGTCACGGGTCTTTTGGATATGACATTTGGATATGACATTAAAAATGTAGGTCCCATGCCCATGTTGGCGCGATAAAGAACTCTCACTGCTGAATGGCCCTGACTGCCAAGTAAAGGTCTACATTTGAAGCCCTTCACCGGCATACGTCTCCAAGTGAGTGAAAATTTTTCGAGAGGGACGTCAAACAACTTACAATAAATCAACTACTTAAAAACTTATTATGCATACTACGTATACTTTGTCTAAAAATACAAGTAATATTTACAAATTCCGACTAATTAAGATATTAATATTTTTGAAAAAATAAAACATTATTACAAGTTTAAAATATGTATATTAAGAAAAAAACGAAACCTAACATTTCATACAATGGCTTTTTAGTGAAAAGAAAACGAAATATCTTTTAATTACACGAACTATTTGCATGTTATAGAAGAATTACATGAATTTTCCAATTAAAAAAAAAATAAACATAAAACAGATATCATGTACCTCTGATTAATCAAATAATTAATTCAATGGATAATTAAATAACGAGTAAATAAATTTTAGACATAAATGAAATGAACATCTCTGTCATTGGTTTTTCAATTATATATTTATGCTAATGAAATGCCAGCAATGATATATATTATGTTTTATTCCCCCGCTCTTATGCTTTCTTTCTTTGGTCTGTTTCTGTTCATAAGAAAAGATTTAAGCAAAAATAGTAAATAATTTTACCGTTGATGTCCTTCTATGGTAAAAAAATTGAATCGTCCATTGGATGTTACATCCTGCCATGTAGAACTTAGGATTCTTGAGGCTGTGAACCAGTTAATATTTTTAGTGGATCTTCCATCAAAAACTACTTCTTGCGTTTTTGTGTCATCAATTATCACTTGAAACTTTACCTGGAACAGATTTTATCGTTGACATTTAAACACCATGAAGTCAGTATCTGCATTGTGTCTGAATCATGTCAGTTTGGTTCAATAATGTAAAGCTGAATGCAATGTTAAATTCCTATTTAAAGTTCATAAACCCTCTGCTTACTCATATGACTTAATTTTTTCTATAACTTTAATGATTTTCCAGTAGAAATGTATATGCTGAATAAAATACAAACAATTATAGCATGGCTTGGGGAACTAAATTTGACAAAAAAGGCACTTAAACTTGACAAATTTATAAAGGAATAATAAAAATTTGTGTCATCAAGAGTTATCTCACTTATTATAGTATCAATATGCCTTTATCTGCAATTTCTATTTAAGTATAGATAATAGTAACTTTTTTTTCAAAGATCGTAAGCTTAAGTCATGTTTATATTAGTAAAAGAGATACTTTAAACCGCATAGCAGTTAAATTTTCATTTACAATAATCGGAATTTAAATGAGAAAGATATGTATGGATTATTTAGGATAGTTGCAGAAAGGAGAAGTTGACAATTTCTTTATATTTTTGAACTTTATTACTTGCATCAAAACAACCAAAATACGTCTAAAGATATATACGACTACAGTCTTTTTTATCATCCGTCCTTAAAGTTATATTTCTCCATAAAATGAAATATGTTTACCAGATTGACATTAATTTCTTCCCAATCATCAATTAAGCCAGTTCTGTATGGCATAAAGCAACCAGGAATCTGTTTCAGTGCTGTACATTCCAGTGGATAAGACCCGTTGACCTCGTGTCTGATGCCAACTGACTTGTAGACATCGACAGGGTTAATTCCTGTCTGACTTTGGGCCTTAAAAGCCAGTATCCAACTATTGTTTTTCACGTCTAAATGCATCCATGATTCAAGATTTATTATTAAAGATAAACAATTTCAAATTGACTTTGATGCAAATACTAAATTATATAAATTATGAAATTAAATTATGTAATTAAAACAAGAGGCACAGGGGCCACATTGCTCACCCGCGCAACTGGCTAGGTAAAAGCAAAAATCAGTTTAGAATTGAAAAGTTTATAAAACATACAAAATTGGGTTTCGGGGTAGGGGGTGTTATTTGAACATATTATGACACATTATGAGAGTGGTATCTATCACCAACCATAGCAAGAAGAAGATTTTTCCTATGTATCCCTATGTAAAATTGTTATCCCCCTTTAATCCTCCAATCTACCCATGGGGGTCATGATTTGCACAAACATAAATTTACATTTATTTAACATTCACTTCTATATGATTATGACCAATCCTGGGTTTGCTGTTTTTGAAAAAAATAATTCTTCTCATGTACTCCTATGCTAATCTTTTGATAACACAATGTGGCCCCATCCTATCAATGGGTTCATAATTTGAACAAATTTTAATCTGCACTAACAGAGGATGCTTCCACATGAGTTTCATATTTCCTGAACCAGTGGTTCTTGAGAAAAAAAAGATTTCTTAAGATTTTTTTCTACTTAGTATGTATTACTATGTTAAACCTTGATACCCCATTGTGGCCCAACCCTACCCTCGTGGGTCATGGCTTGAACAAATTTAAATCTACACTACATAAGGAAGCTTCCACCTGAGCTTCAATTTTCCCTCCCCAGAGGTTCTTGAGAAGAAGATTTTTAAAGATGTTTCCTATGTATTCCTATGTTAAGCTTTGATACCCCATTGTGGCCCCTCCCTGCCCTCGGGGGTCATGATTTGAACAAACTGGATTCTACGCTATATGAGGATGATTCCACATAAGTTTCAGCTTTCCTTGCACCGTGGTTCTTGAGAAAAAGATTTCAAAAGATGCCATTCATTTTGTACGATTTCGATTGAAGAGGTTGTGGTCCTTTATTTAAACAAACTTGAACTCCCTTAACCCAAAGATTCCCGTGGTTCTTAATAAGAAGATAAAAATGTGAAAAGTTTACGACTACAACGACAACGACAGACAACGGACAAATTTTGATCAGAAAAGCTCAATTGAGCCTTCACCTCAGGTGATCTAAAAAAGAAACTTACATTCAATGCAATTGTCGCATCGTTTTTCATCTACAATAAACAACATATTATGCATTGGAAAAACTAAACTTTAGCATGTAAAGTTCGATAACGAAAGATGTTTTGCGTAAAAAAAAAATATGGAAATACTATTTTCATATTAAAATATCCGCTTTGATTGGTGCAAAAGCGCTTAATACTACAAGGAGTTATTTTTATTATGATAGATATGTTCAGTGATTTGCTTAATGCTTTCACACTAATCAATAAATGATGCATGATGAAAAAGTAAAGGACTTAAAAGGATTGATTAATGATTTTGAAAGCAGTTTGCTGATAGACTGCAAATGCAAAAAAAATTCATAATGAGGACGATAAAAACTTATTAACATGTATCATTAGCTTGATTTGAGCTTCTTTGATTATAAGTTCGGAAATCATGATGTCATGCAAGAGTCTTCAAAGTAACTTAGGTACAAAAATGAAATTATGCAAAAGTTTGCCGTAAATCGTTCAAAAAATTGCTCCGAAAAATAAGTAAGGACAAAAAGTAAAAATAACTGATCAAAGTACGTCACAAGAATGCATTTGAAAAGAAAAGAAACTTAAAATGGAACTTTAATAAACATCATTTTTTAGGTTTATTAAAGTAAGCTTGAGGTATGTTACGATGAAGTTATAATCAATTTACCTTGACAATTGTCCCCGACAAATCCATTGGTACAGTTACACGTGTATCCTCTTATCCTGGATTGGTCCGCCACACAAGTCCCATTCTGACAATCATGGTTGTCACATACATCAACTAAATAAACAAATACTTAAATTGTATCTTAAATATTAACTCATGGTGCTAAAAAAAAGCATGCATACACCTGTATTTCATTAATTGTTTTAAAACATTTTGTGGAATTTTATTGACATTCATTTCGAGTACGTTTCATTCATACATTGCAGTATAAGGTACGTGAATTCGTACGATGTACAAAAATAACAATTTGTATTGAAGCTTTAAAAAAATAATTTTTGTAAATGGAATTATAAAGAAAAACTAGATATTCTTTTCATTCAGAAGTTATCAATGTGTAAACTCATGCCTTTGTAATTGCAACGCTTACATAAAAAGTCGCACTTTTATTCAGTTTGTGAGTAAGAGGTCATGAGTTAACACATCAGTGAATTCTTAAAAAAAATTAATCCATTATAAAATACATGATATTTACACTTCATTTCCGAATCACACTGAATTGAAAAATTAATAGAAATAATGTCAGCAGTTGCGATTAATAATTGACACTAAAACATTTTTTAAGTTTATTTAAGTTAGCTTGAGGTATGTTACAATGAAAGTTTTAATCAATTTACCTTGACAATTGTCTCCGACAAAGCCAGTGGTACAGTTACACGTGTATCCTCTTATCCTGGATTGATCCGCCACACAAGTCCCTCTCTTACAATCATTGCTTTCACATACAGCAACTATGTGAACAAATGTTTAGATTATGTCCGAAATTGTGACATATGGTGCTTAAAGAGCATTATAAAAAAAGAAAGTAGAATAGGTTTTGAACTAAATTGATAAATCGAATGACTACAAAGTTTCTTTTAAGAAATAATATATCATTTTTATGGTCTCTTGCGTATCTCAGATGTAAACCTTTGATCAATGATTCTGGGTTTAAATCCAAGTTTATACGTTGCACATAGGTAAGGCTTGGCTGCGTTCAGCTCAGAATCGGATTAACTTCTGAATCTGGTGTAGGGGTGGGTAAAACCCGGCGGCTTGATGTCTTTTCAATGGACTTTTGGTGGCATATTTTGACATTTTTGACTGCTTCATGTTATGGAAATGTTTTATATTGTGCTATTTGTAGGATTATTTTTCAAGATTTTTTTTTTATGTTCATACTTGGGATAATTTATTCATTTTGTGTGCACAACTCTTACGCGCTGACAGATAAGTCGGACATTAACGGAGTCGGACTATAACAAACTCGGACTACTGTATATTTTTTTATTAATTATCATTTAATTGATCAAGATGTTAAAAAAATATTTTAAGTAATAGAATTAAAAATAAATTATTAATAACTTCTGATTTGATTGACATGTCAGCTACCTGTACGTGCTTCCTGATAATCTGAGATTGCATGTTTTGAAAACAATTACCGGGTCCCGCGTCAAACACTTTCATATACCCGCATAGTATATACGTGGGTTTCAAAACTTCAATATGTTTGAATTTTATTCAAAAAAATAATTGAAAGTAGATTATTAAAACATTGACCTAGCTAATAAAAAAAAATCTTTTCTATCTTCACTGCTGTTTGTTACTTGTAAGTGTTATATCGTCTACGTTAACTGTAGAAAAACGACGGCGTCCACAGAAACCGGCTCTACATTTGCCGTAGTTGGAAGTCCGACGATTTAAATTATTTTTTAAGAAATGGGATGTAAGAAAAATATTCAGAACTAATAAACGGAATGGCATAGTTTTTAAAAGATGTTTTATTTTGTACTATAACTAATCCGCACGATGTTGTACAAAATGTTGTACAGAAATTGATGTCAGAATTAATGCTCGAATTTCCATCAGCGTCTGTATATAAACGTAATTAAAATGTGAAGATAATTTATAGTGATCGATTCAGAAAAGAAATCATTCAAGCAATAAAATTTTGTTACCATACGAAGAATAAAAAATATGGAATATTTTGGAGAACGGAGAGACATCCTTTGTACTGCTACGTATACACATATTCTTGACATCTTGGGTATTGGGGGTCTCCAGGTAAATAACACCACTGTTACTTCGACCACACCCTCTCCTCAGGTAATCGTATGGTAAAAAATTAATAACGAGCATATTAATTATCGACGAGGTATTTGATCTTCCCTGGACTTTGGGTTTTCATCTAAAATGCAGTCGTTACAACCATGGATCCCATCAGCGACCGGTGTACCCTTCTACTATGCCACGGCACGGCACACTTTTAAAATTAAGAATTTTCTAAATTTCCTATTTTCGAAACATAATCAGATCTTGATTCCTATGTTGAAAGTAAAAATAACCTATGGTCCGAGTTTGTTATGGTCCGAGTTTCTTATAGTCCGACTTTGGATAGTCCGTGTTTGTTATAGACCGACATTGTTATAGTCCGACTACGTTTTGGTCCGACCTATCAGTAATTCCTCTTACGTGTCCCGTTTAGATAATATTCTAATAAAAATGAAGCTGCTGAACCACAATGTTACTATTATTTTAAATGATAGTTTATTTGGGATACACAAATGTACTGTGACAAGAATTTAGAGAATTTTTTTTTTATTATTTAACTGCTTCACTGGACCACCAAGTGTCATTTCATATTAAATTGAAATTTCAAATCCAATATATAGTTCTTATTATGTACTTTGTAAATTTTATTAATTGATTATACATTCTTGTCTCCTCAAAAAATAAATTTTATTTGAATCATTTGAGGTTAGATTTATCTTTGTTCTTGTTTTAAAGATGTTGCGTAAGCGAAAAATGGGGTGAAATTATGTAGAGCCATTGATCCAAATACTTCTTATTGATTTGTATTGATACGCAATAAAGTTTCTTGTGAAAAATTGAAATTTTCAGCTTCTTATGACCGATTTCATTTTATGAAAAACTGAGTATTATTTTGTAGTATTGTAATATAAAGATAGACTTGCTTTCAAACTGAAAAGAAATAACATCCGATTAGAAAGAAATCATTATAATTTATCTTCTGTGTGTTATGTTCCTTCGAGTCATAAGATTCAGAATTTGACTGTAATTAATTGCCAAATATTTCCATTTCTAATTTATTTCTCTGTGATACTTGTTTGAAAGTTGGGGGAATTTATTTCTTGATAATTCTGCCGGAATGTAAATTAGGCTGGTCGATAGGTCAGCAGCTAAGGAGGCCTAATACGCATGCAAATCTCGTGCGCATCTGTATCTGTGTCTGACGCTAAAGAGGCCAAATATGCATGAAAATCTCGTGCGGCTGCCTTTGTGTTTGACGTCAGTGTGCGAGGAGCATTGAAATTGGCATAGACATCCTCGTGTAATTAAAATCTATTAGTCTACATTTTTAATGTCTAAGTCTTCAATTTTATTTCACAATGAAATGGAAATATAAGGAATCACTGTCTAGTTTTTAGAGTATGCCAGGGACATCAACAATAGTGGGAAACATGGGATGGCTTCGCCCGTTATGCAAATTATCCCATGTTTCCCACTATTGTTGATGCCCTGGCATACTTTCAAAATTAGACAGTGATTCCTTAAACAATACACAAATTTTCTGAAGATGGCACGAGGCCGAGGGAATGCAGAAAACATCCCGAGAAGTGGGGGTTCTTGAAGCACAACTGCACAAAGAGCTTCTTCGAAGTGTGAAAGAGAATACAAGACAGGACTCTAAAGGATCACACGAGTGGATTAAATGAAAGAACACAATGCTTAGTTTCTTCTTGCACCGTAGGTACAAGATTTTTTGAACAAGGAAATAAACGTCATCCCATTTTCAAAACCATTGCAGTTTCTCGTGTTAACCGTGCTAGAAGGGTCTCATTTTTGTAGAAAATATTATTTACAATCTTTTGTACAATATTTTGAATCTGGACTAGTACTGTTGAGGGGTTATTTATTTGGAAATAGCAGAAAAAAAATTGCTTGGAGACGATCCGACAAGAGAAAGCGTCCATAATTGTATATTAGACTTGAGAAATTCAATAATAAATACACACTTGATACATAACATTAAAGTCAAAAGATGTGGATTTAACATCTGGATTAAATAAGAACATTTTACGTCACTATCCCCGATAGGACAGCGCAGTCCTTTGCCTGTTATGGTTAATGAATTTTAAAACTGTTTATCAATACGCAACGGAAACGCCAACATATTGACCGTAAATATACGTTTATTCGGGATCATTGCATAAATAGTAATAGGTGAATTTACCTTGACAATTGTCCCCGACATAGCCTAGCTTGCAATTACATCTGTAACCTCGATTTCTGGACTGGTCAGCTTCACAAGCCCCATACTGGCAATCATGGCTGTGACATTCATCAACTGTAGGAACTAATTTTTAAAAGCTGTTGTACAAACATCATTAACTAAATGTGCTAGTAGGGTTTAAGTAAGAGACTTTCAAACATGTCAATCGATAAGTTTTCTCAAATCTAGAAAACATACATAAGAACAGACTAGAATATATATATATATATATATATATATATATATATATATGTATATATATATATTTTTATGATATAGACAGGATAGATAACTCCAACAATCAATTATAAGGCTCTAAATATATACCAAGAGTCACTCATTCATTCATGTTCATGAATCATTTGTATTCATAAATCCCAGTTGCGGTCTCTGTCGTTATTTTTTTGAGAGACCTAATCATCGCGATACGACCCTTTCACGTACGGATGTTCGAGATAAAAATAATTAGCAAATGGACGGTTGATCAACAGAATAAACATTAATTTCAGCACCATAAAAATAAAAGCGAGAAATCTATTTCGCGAGTAATGCTTTCCACGAAATTACGCGATAATCAAATCCTCACTTATAATAAAGAATCTACAGTTTATACATGGTTCACTTTGAATTGTGTATGAAACATATGGAGATAAGGAACAATATTCAAGATCAAAAGTCCAAAAACAATACAAAATAGGAGTAGAGCAAACACGTGCACGGACCTCCAAATCATATGAGATGGGTTCAGGTGCATGTTTTTGTATTGATTTAAAGACTTTTGTTTCTGAGTACTGTTCATTATCTCCATATATTTCACTCTACTAAATAAATATTTGGCTCCTATGTCCCCAAAAAAGTTTTTAATTTCAAAAACAAAAAAAACGTGCTTGTTTTCTTTTTGAACTTTTCTGAATAGAAAGATAATTATATACATTTTAACCTGTTAATATTTATAAAGGTTTTAATGCAATTTCAACATGTTTGCATAGTCCAAAGTATGATAAAAAGAAATTTTAGTGCAAAAAAGTGTTTCACCATTTAATGCGAAGACACTTAATCAATAATATTACTTTTTTTTATTTACCTTATAAAAACGGAATATTTAACAAATGACCATTCTTTAATTTTTATGAGAAAAAAATGTTGCATTTCATTTAATTACCTGTTTTTTATAGAATGACTGTACCGTTTCTTGAAAATAACTATGGAGGGTAATCGTGTTAAAAAAATCCAGACTTGTAAGTTTGTAATTGCAATCTTGTAAGTTTGTAAATTTGTAAATGCAATCTCGTAAGTTTGTAAATCCAAACTTGTAATCGTATCAGTTTCATAGTATACATATGTAAGTAGGTAATTCAGACATCCAAGCTTATAGTTCTGAAAATACAACTGTGTTGACTTTAAGTTCAAATTATGAATGTGTGTATCTTTGAAGTTGTATAAACTTTGTTTTCCGGAATTTTATATTTCCGCGCTGTGAATAAAACACAAAGACATATCACAACTCTACAAATGTAAAGTCTACATGTTTGCCGAATTTTGATTGCAAGAGGGGTGTCGGTACCATAATTTCTTTTAAATATACTTGTTTCATTTTAAAAATCATTAAAACTTTTTTTTCCAAACTAAATTATTTCCAACGACTTCATTTCTTATTTCTTATTTTAGTTCTTACTTCTTGTTTATATTTTCCAGCATCCGGGGAGGGGCGATGTGCCATCCCCCAATAATTTTGCCGATATAAAGATGATAAAGAATACTATAGAAAACATAGCTAGTATATGCTTGTGCCCCCTCAATAAAAAAAGTCTGATGACTTCATTTTAATGGGAAGGGGCGTAGTTGATATGTAATGTCCCCCAACTCAAAAGTGTGGCTTTGCCCCCCCCCCCCCCCCAACTGAAGTTGCTTTCTACGGACCTACTTTTTATTATTATTTTTTTGCCTCCCTTCGTATATTTATTTATCTGATATTCTAAATTATGTTTCACTATTCCTAACTTAATACTTTTTTGGGATAAAACTATTAGAAGAATCAAAAGATTTAATAAGAGAGTAGAACTACAGTGCGCAACAGAATTAAACTAAGGAATCCGAATGAAATTAAAACGAAAAGGAGCGCATCGGCCTTTTTTTACATGTTCAGAGTTCTTGCGCGAACAGTCTACGTGTCGTAGACTATGTAGATATATTTCCCTGGAACATGCATTTTGTTTTATTATAATTTTAAAAACCATATGATTTTATTATCGTGTGTTTTCTCTCCTTTTCAGACCAGTTGGGGGCAATTTCATGGGGGTTGGGGGTTGGAACAAAACAAAATTTCTTGACCCCCCAAAGGCATTACTGTTCAGGGGATATAACAATGAATTAGCCTTGATTTACTTTTCTTATGAATGTACAGACAATTGGGCTCAATTGGAAATTACTTTCATTTACTTGAATTGGAATAGAATACACTGGCTCCCCATCCCCTGTCCGGCCCGGGACCATGAAACTTAGATAAGCTCACTTTTTGATTCAGTCTCTCTATTACTAATTCCTGTAGTAAACCAAGTTTGGGACGTGGCACGAACAAGATCCCTCGCTGCTGTATAGCCCTAAGTGCCGAGCATAGGACAAAATTTGCAGCTCTCCACCGGCAAATGGTGGCGTCTCTATATGAGTAAAAATTCTCGTGAGGGACGTTAAACAACAATCGATCCTTTGGTGAAAGATAGACTGTGATCAACAGTGAGCTCGTCTAAGTTTAATTAATGGCCCTGGTGCATGATGTTTCAAATATGATAAATATAGCCCTCATTCCTGATTGCATGCTTATATTGTAAATAAATATCAGGTATATTTCAGTTTATATTGATATAACATTATTTTAAATTAGGACTGAGAATTTTTTTTTCACTTCAACAAGTCTAAGGACCGAAAGGGGGCAAAATGTTGGGTTCTCCACTTTTTGTGTGGAAAATAATCATGAGCAGATGTTTTGATATGCATCTATTGTAGTATTGGCTGCATTCCCCATTCAAAACACACTTTTTCTTGCATATTCACCAAACTCTGGCTTATTCTTGCGTTGGAAAAAAAAGTTTTTAAAAAGATATAATGAAAGATTCCAAACATCGCTTTTACAGAGAAAGTTTATATGTACCACTTTATTTAATCAATATTTGTTTGTAATTTCTTTTTGGGGGACTCCCCCATTCCCCCGAGGAATATTTACACGTAACTGCATCTACTGAATGTTTTTTTAAATATGATATTATTGCAATTATAATTAAGATCTCAACCGGGACACTGATCTTAGTTGCCTAGTGGTTGGGCGTCAGCCTCGTAAGTCATGGCTGGAAAGTTCTTTTAAGTATCAACTAAACCCTCTCCCCCATATCTCCCAAATAAAAAGAAGTCATCAGACTTTTTAAATTAAGGGGGCACAAGCATATAATTTTTAAATTTTCTATAGTATTTTATACATATGTATATCGGGAAAATCCCCCCCGACCCTATGGCCATGCAGGGAAAAAATAAAACTGGAAAATTTAAACAGGAAGTTAGAACTAAAATAAGGAATAAAAAATGAAGTTATAATTTACATGTATTTGGAAAAAAAGAAGTTATCATAAAAATAAAAAAAAACATCAAAAAAGGAATTGCGGCACTGATGGCCCTCTATAGTTTCTCGTATTCAAAATTCGACAAACATGTAGACTTTACATTTGTAGAGTTGTAAGTTGTCTTTGTGTTTTATTCACAGCGCGGAAATAAATATTCCGGAAAACAAAGTTTACAATTTCAAAGATACACACATTCATAATTTGAACTTAAAGTTAACACAGTTGTGTTTTCAGAACTACATGCTTGGATGTCTGAATTACCTACATACATTTGTATACTACGAAACTGATACGATTACAAGTTTGGATTTACAAACTTACGAGATTGCATTTACAAATTTACAAACTTACAAGATTGCATTTATAAATTTACAAGTCTGGATTTTTGAACACGATTACCCTCCATAGATAACATCCAGCAGACATAGAGCAAATCTCAAGAGTTTTAAACGAACACTAATTGAAGGCAGAACAAAGAGAATTCGTAATATCTAACATGTTTTATATAGAGTCTATTGTTTTATTAATGCATCTTTTTCCAAACTCCAATTTTCATTTTAATTTCCTGGTATACTTTATTGTCATATACTTATTAGATTCTTACCTTTAAGATGTATGAGCAAAAGCGTAACAAAAGCTATCACGGCAACTGTCAGAAATACTCCAAGTAGTAAAGAAATAATCGTTAGTTTCTGCTTTTGTTCTCCACCTACATCAGTAAAAGAATATATTTAAATTTGGAAGCAAATACATGAACATATACAAAATTAGCTTAAATAGCCTAAGTATTTGACAAGCACAATCCATGTCAATCTGGATGCTTTTTCAACACTGTAACACTGATATTTTACAGTCGTAAAGCTCTCATACCTCTCTTACTATTCTTCTTTACTGAAGACATTGTCTTGATGTAAGATAAACTTTGTCTTGCTTTCCTCTTCCTATAAATATGCCCTGTTACCTTTTCATATACTACATAAAGAACTAATCATAAACCAATGCTATACGCTTTTACAGAATATTTTCAGTGTTTTTCTTTACTACAAAAATTTACATCTGGTTCATCATCCTATACGCAGATATAGGTTGCATACGCCCCAGTTACGAAAGAAGGTTCAATAACAAAAGAAATCTTAAATAACCAATTAAAAATGTCTCTTTTTAAGCTATTTGAATAGTTTTCATAATAGTTTTCATATCATTGAACACAAGTAAATGAGGGAACATGCATGAGAACTTTCTTCTGCAATTCGAAATTCCAGTTGACTTTGGGTATTTTCATCTTGTGATCTTATATAAGTAACCATGAGTTTTTGTTGTGTATTATATTGACATTCCTATTCACCTTGGTCGTGAGAATTAAATGTGTATAAATTGTATACACTGTTTATTCCTCAAATATATTGTTGTTTACTAGACAGTGTAACTATTGCAATTTATTTTTCAAAAAACTCAGATCTTTTCCCCAACTTCTGGCTTTTATACATAAATTGCGTAATTTTAAAATTGACAATTCTATGTGCTGGCAATAAATGAGGATTGGTTACAATGATTTTTAAAAATGTTTGACGGAATTGGCTGCTCAGTAAGACAACTTTATAGACTTTTCTGCTTTGTACAAAAAAAATAATAAAATAAAAAATCAAGACATTTTCATTAAAGACTTTTGATGTTGCAATGTGTCCATCTGATTTGTCCCAATGAAAAAAAAACTCTCAATTCTATATAGTAAAAAATATATAAATATAACATTTTAGAAAATTTGATTTTTTTAAAATTCCGTTCCCGCTATTTTTTTTTAATGTTAAATGAAATGTACGTTTGAAAGATTCTTATTGTATATCCATGTAGTCGATCGGAAAATAGCTCTTCAGAGTTAATTTTTTTGTTGATGTATCCGACTTTAAATAAATATCATCTTATCTTATCGTATCCTATATCAACCGTAATCAGTAGACAAGAAAATTGCACACAATAAAACGCCTTATAATTCTTTTATCTACTTGATAATACCGGTATATAGGACCTAGATATTCCACCGAAGGTACATGTAATTGTAAATATAGGCTATTTAGGACCTAAATATTCCACTGAAGGTTATTAATAATTGGATATTGCCAATATAGGCTATTTTTCAGTAGACAAGAAAATTGCACACAATAAAACGCCTTATAATTCTTTTATCTACTTGATAATACCGGTATATAGGACCTAGATATTCCATCGAAGGTAATTGTAAATAAAGGCTATTTAGGACCTAAATATTCCACTGAAGGTTATTAATAATTGGATATTGCCAATATAGGCTATCTTTAAAATTTTCTTCTCCTGACGACGCATAGGAAACTAAGATGAAATCTATCCAATCGCTTTAAGTATTTACATATACAACAGCTTGGTATTTTTCTTAATCGGCTAGAGAATTCGAATCAAATGGTTTCAATGATGTATTTGGAAATAATGAAGAGTATTTAAGCTCAAAAGTCCATTAAACAGGACAAAATTGGAGCAAAGCAAACAAGGATCTCCAAAAAAATTAGAGGTGGGAGCAAGTGACATGGAAATTTGACCCCCCCCCCCAAAAAAAAAATAATAAAAATAAATATCCATATCAACATCAGATTAAATCCTTTTTTTATTTCTCTTAATGGAATGTCATTTTCTCATTCAGAATAAGTAACAAAAAAACATATAACAGTTTGATAATATACAGCGGAATAAACTTTTAAAAATATGTGCATCATTTTTACTGCATTATTTGGGACAGTTTTTGGCCTAGATCCAGAGCCAGCATCTAATCGTCTGCCTGGTTAATATTCTGAAGAGGTCTTTTTTTCTCTTTCTAGCAGTGTTTCTGTTTCACCATCTTTTACAATGCAACATGTGTATGTTTCACTGTTGTCCGTTATTCTTCCCTTCTTTCTCTATAATGGCTGCCGATGTTTTAGAACCACCTGGCAAGAAGATAATATGTGCTGTAGGATTCTCTTTTCCATAAAGGGACACTCTGGTGTTTCTATGAGATCCCATCAATGGAGATTGGCTGGTGTTGGTAGCAGATCGTACATTGAGCGTAGTAGTAATTTTAATTAGATCTGCGGGCATTTCCAGATGTCCGCCCAGGATAGTGTCTGTTGGTCTATTTCCTTTCTTTTCCAAGCCCCTGGACTCCCATCACCACTGCCTTAGCTTGTCGGTTTTCTTCCTCTCTGGCTTGGATATCTTTCTGCACCATGCTATGTTTCTTTTTTTTCTTTCTGTTGTGTCCGTTTTTTCCAAAAGCTGCTTTTGGATGTCCGTAGACCCTGCCTTTCCACTGCCACCCTTCCTACAATGTCTCTGTGTCTAAGTCTGCTCTCCGCCTCCTTTATTGTCTTTGAAGATGACCATTTCCGCCCTCTCCGTACTTCTTAACCAGATAATCAGACCTTATCATCTCTTTAGCCCTTTCAAGTCATGAAAATCCTTGTTTTGCTGGCCTTAAACACTTCTGCTATTGATGCCATATGAAGTTGTACTTTGGATGATTTGCATTTACAAGCCGATTTAAAGCAAGGCTTGTTCGCACACCAAACCAGATGTGTATTGATGATTTTCTCCAATTTCTCCACTGTTGATGTTGATATCTCGTAGAGAATCAATGACCAAACTAAGATGTCATGTTGGTAAATCCATGCCTTGAATTTCCCTTGTAATCCTGCTTTGTGTATGTTCCTTATCCTTTCTCTTGCTCGTTGTTTTAGTTTGTGAAAATGTTGGCTTTATGTTCTTGTTTTTAAGCGTTTTACTCCAAGTGTTTCATCGAACCATTTGCCTAAACACTTTATATAGGGTTCACGATGATTAGATGGAATATCCCCCCCCCCCCCCCTCGGATTGTTAGCTTGGAATTCACTATTACTTTCCTTTTCTTTTCAAACGATTAAGGTTAATTCATGTGCATGATGCTTTTTCTTCTAAAGCCTTTAGTATATGTTTTTATTGTAGAATCATCACGAACCCCTTTGTTTGGCGATTGTCTGATATTGCTTGATGTCGTTGGATCTCTGATTTCTCTCTCTGGCCTTGATGATCATATTCATATCCATTGCAAATAGGATCACTGAGAATGTACAACTTGTCACAATTCCCTATTCAATACATCCAGAGAACCCAGGTACTCCTCCTTTCTGTATTGTCCATGTCCAAGAAGCTGCATGTGGATACATTAGACTGATATATACACATACTGATTCTTGGACATGTAAGCTGTCAACCCTCTCGTTAAGACTGAGAAGAAGATTTTCCCGTCTACGTCAATATATTAATGAAATTGTCCAGAACTGATTTATCTCCTCAAAATTCTCCTCCTTTGGCAAAAAGCACCCCCCAGCAGGACTGATTCTTCCCTTGCCTCCATACCACTCTTGATCGGTTTCCATAAGTATTGAAGACTCTTTGGACATATAGACTTTTAGGAGATACGGTTAGGGCCTGCTTTTGATGATGTTCTACCTTTCTTTACAATGTCCTGCACTTCTTTCAATGATGGTTCCTTTTCATTCATTGGCTCCTCTCGTTCTGATACCCCTTCTATTCGATCACATGATACTAAGAGTTTCCACTGCTCCTTGTCACCATGTGTTTCTTCCAAAAAGTTTTCAACCTCCTTCTCAGAGCTCTTCAGTGCACCTGACTTTGCACCTTTAAGGGTTGCTTTTGTAAATCTGTATGGCTCTGCTATAAACTTTGCCCTCTTCTTTCCTCTCTCTTGTCTGGCTTTACTTATTCTCTGTGCTCTCTGAAGATTGTTCCTCATCTCTCTCAGATTTGCTCTTAGCTCGCTGAGCCGTATTTTCTGATTTTAATTTGCTTTCAACTTGCTGGTCAAAAGATAATTCAAAATCAAAACAACTTGCATTTATATTTTCATCCTGCACGTTAAAGGATTTTTCATTTTTTGTTCATTTAGAACTCATTGTTTTAATGAACAACTAAGTCCCTTATGAACTCATAGGCGTCGGAACCATTTTTTTTTATTACATTGCCCTCCCTTTTCAATTTGCTTCCGACGCCATGCAATGGTACTTATCACAAAAATAAATTCTTAAAATTGGTTCATCGTTTATAATTCATGTCGTTGAAAGTTCAATCTTGAAATACCGGTAGGCTGTTCAGTTCCTCGTTTGTGCAAAATATAAGTGACAAATCCATAAAAATATAAGACATTAAAAATTTACACATAAATGTTATGTAATCAAAATATACCATATTTTAGCAGTTATTTGCATCATACAGTGTGCAATTTGTAAAGATTTACATTCAAATTCTACAAATTTTGTACAACACTATTTATGTCCCAAAATTAATCTATCCCATAATTAGAGAACGTTTCGTGCCGATTTTAATCTTCATTATACATGTATAACGATATATTACGATGTTTTAAGATAATATTTAAATATAAGGTCAAAATTGACTTACTTTCAAAAGTTAATAAACACTACTTTCATAAATAAATTATTGTACAAAAAGCAATCTAAGGCCGGAATTAAAAATATCTTTGTTTCCCCTAACCCGACCCTAAATTCTCAAGTTGGGTCGGTAGGTAGGTAAACAATTTTATTTCCTAACAGCAGCTTTGAAATACATTCTTAAATTTAATGGAAAATTACCTTTATAAATAAGTACAAAAAAGCGATTTGTAAATAAAATGCCAAGTATCGTACATATGCCGTTTAAAAGCAAAATTCATGATTAATTACTTCACAACTGTTATTTAGTTGAACTCTCTATCTCACGCCATTACATTGTTATATTGAATAAAATAAACAAGATTCTTAAATACGCAAGGACCAGACATACAAGTACCCGGAATATATTTTCAAACCTTCCATCAGCCTTCAGAGATTATAGACGATCAATTTACTTTTTGAGGGCCACGAGATTTGCAGTGGTTCTGGAGCATTTTGCTTTGAAGTTAAGAAGTAAGTGGCTAACTTTAAATCGCAGGTACAAGTCCCAATGAGTATCGATGAAAACGATCCCTCAAGGGGGACCATAAAAAATTGTGTCCAGAAGTTGGTTCAAAAAAGACCCCCACTGCTTAATGGCAAAAAAAGTGCTGACTGCCGAGTACGTATAAATTTGAAGCAAAGGGGAAATGTTTAAATTCCTAACAAATCTCGAAGGAATGAAAAGCAAAGAAACAACCAATCCTCAAGGGCCTAATTAAAGAAAAATATCAAATCGTTTCAAGAGTAAAGAATTCCAATAAGCTAAAAGCATAAGATTGAGACGTGGCCATTGTCTTATTGAGTTAATGCCCTGTAATCACATCTGGACGTTAATTATTTTGTTTCCAACAATGCTTGAAAATCACAGTAGAACAATTATGTCGGCCGTTCTGATAAAAACTGATTTGATGAAATTGGTTAACAATAAAAAAAAAATATTTGAATCATCTTATTTAAAAAATCTTTTCAGTCGGCGCAATTTAATTGGGTGGGTCGCATGTGGCCTAATTAAAATTAAAATTTACCTCGGTTCTTATGTATATCTATATCACAGTATATGCATGGAATCTTCAATAAGTAAATCTTCTATATAGTGTTTGCTGTATATATCCTATTTTTAGCAATATGACATGTTGATTGAAAAAAATACATTTAATTTAACGAACAGCCTTTACATTCCCCAACATTCGTTTATTAGCTCTACCTTTTCAAGCGTCTGCACAACTCTGCTTTATTTACAATCATGGCCGACTGATTCGAAAATGTTCCGCTCATGAAAATAATTTTAGTTCAAATTTATGAATTACGAACAGAAAAAAAAGGTTGTTTGTTATTTAAATTTGGCCGAAATTTGACTAACAATGTACTGATTCGTAATTTTTCATAGACCACGCGTCTGCCCGACAAGTGTTGACAAGTTTTGAAGAACAGCGAAATTTAAAATCGACAACGTCTTCTTCATTTAGCAAGGTATACTTCTGTTTTGTATTATTTAAAACTATGATGCTTTTAAAGTAAATTTTATTAAATAATAATAATGTTTTAAACAGGTCCAGCACAATACCCCAATCAAGGTATATAGCTTGATAAAGCTATATAGCTTTATCTGTTTATCAAGTTATTTAAAATACCTTGATCAAGGTATTTTATGCAATGAAAATTAAAAAAAAAAATTCTTTAAAATTGAATACTGAAAGTCGAGTTTTGAATTTTTGTCAGTGTGTCTACTCGTGCATGAAAAACACTCTGGTATCAAAAAGAAAGCATCAAATAATGTTTCCTCACACGACATGTTTATCTACTGATTTCATTGTGTTTGAGTACTTTACATGCATGGGTGAATTTACTGACAACAACTGCAGAACTCAACTTTCAATAATTAATTTTTAAAGAATTTTTTTGAATTTTCATTACATAAAATACCTTGATCAGGGTATTTTAAATACCTTAGTAAAGCTATATAGCTTTATCAAGCTATATACCTTTATCAGGGTATTGTGCTGGACCTGTTTAAAATATATTAGAACAGGTTTGGACCAATCAACCAAATGGGATATAATAGTCCGTTTGGGATATAATATCCCAAACGGGCTATAAATTTACAGTGCAAAAATTGAAAATTTTTATTTTGGCAATAAATATCATAAATCCGCATCAGGACACTTGAAAAGGAATAACTTTTGGTTGACAAGTTTTCCTGTATGTCCATTTTTTGGGAGATTGATCCCTCAGAAGTTCCGTAACTTCTTGGGGATCAATCTAACAAACTGTAGGGTTGCAGAAAAACTTGCTTACCAAAATGATATCTGATGATTACAACTGACATGCTTCTTTTATATTGAATCGAACTTTAGTTTTTATTATTGTTTATCTTTTTAAACTGACCACTTCAGATGTCAAACCATCTTTTTGCAAAGATTTTCATAATAAATGACTTCACTTTTCATAGGTTATAAGGTAAATTCAGTTCTACTTAAGATGGCACAAAGAAGATCATCCAAGATGTCCAAGAAAGAATTCAATGATCAATTTGAGGCATTTTTGAAGGAGGTAAAATACAGTAAAACTCATGCAGTACAAACATGGATATAGCAAACTCATAGCTATTGTTTTTTTTCCAATCACTAGTGAAATTCTTCATGTTATTAACAAATCCTAGGAAAATACATGTAGTATGGTTAAAATGTAGGAGTGAAATGGTTCACCACAGTATTTTTTCTTGGTTCGATACATGTGCGTGGTACAAAATCGCTTTTTTCAGTCCTGTTCCTTTTTCGCTTGGATTTGGCAAAAGATATATAAAACATGCTCCTCTGTATAATTAGTTTAAAAAATTTTTTTTGTGGACTTTGTAAAATAATTTTTAACAGTCAACATGGTCAAATCAATTAAATTGATATCCATTTTGCGCATAAAGGATTTGACAAGATTAGGTAAAAGGAAGCATAAAAATAACAGTTGATTTAGTTTCCTTCTTACTTCTATCAAAATGCATTGTATCAAAAATAACCAAACTGAGACCAAATTTTACAATACATATCGAACCGTGAAGGAGGCGTAGTGTTTCACCCCTTTTAAAATGAGCCGTGATATAATGAATTTATTGATAAACATGTAACATACTAATTTTGTGTCCCTTTGATGTAAAAAATAACCATAATGACACTCTCATAATAAATTTTCAATATCTTTAAATTTAAATAAAATCATGTAAAATGGGGGCTATGTAATGTGGCAAGGGAAAAAATTGTAGATTTACAGGAGCAAATGGTGTTTGTTTTTATTTTATTCTCTTCAACAATAATGACAAAAGTTCCGTTTCAGTTACACACATATATCTTCTGTCAAATTCTGTGTACAATATGTTTTTCAAATATAGTGTAAGAGTGTGATTCAAACTTATTGTGAATTTGATTACTGACTCTCACTCAGGGATTGCTCTTCCTGTTTAATAATTAATTTTTTAAATAATTTCATGCACTGCTCTGTTAGACTGGCGTAAATATGCACAAAATGTTACTATTTTTAGTCCATGTCCTCAGAAGAGTCCATGGATTCTGCGAGGGTCGCCAAATATCTGAATCCTCCGAAAAAGAAAGAGAAGCCGTGGTGGATGGATCAGGATGATGACGAAGACGAGGAAGAAATTGGAAGAGGTGCGTTTATTGGATATTGAAGATTTTAATCATTTAGCTAATGTGTGAAGGTGTTTATGTGAAAAATGATCATATGATATGGTATTTTGTTGGTAGATCTTTGCTTATTAGATATTCAGGAGATGTGAAGTACTTCACTTTTAAATGATGATAAAAATGTGTAATTTGCTAAAAATAAAATTTTGCTCAGAATTTTCTGTCCATTACAAATGCATGTTACATTTATCTTGTTGATATGTGTGGAGGGTTTGTACTTTTTAATGACACATAGAGATGTACTTGTATTCTTTATGGCATGTATAAGTATAATGCATGTAGCTTTTAAATAATACATACTAATCATATAATTATTAATTATATTTTTAAAAATAGGTCTCACAGCAAGTGGGAAAAGCTTTTTGAAGAAGAAGAAACCCGAGCCGGAGACCAGCACACCCATCAGGGAGGACCAGACAACTTCCATACGAGACAAGAAACCCGACTTAGACAGTTCTGATGATGGGAAAAAGATCGCAAGTCCCGCAGAAAGGCGTGGCAAAAACAAGAGAGAGGTAAACACAAAGTACACATTACATTAAGTTTTGTAATCATGTTAATGTGTGTTATGGATTCAAAACCTCCTCAGCTCAAAAGAATAATATTATTTTTACAACAAAAAACCATTCCACTTATGAAAGTTAAAACTTTTCTTTTCAATGTTGAAAGAAAAATTCTCGAAGGAATAAACCAATATTTAATCATTTTTTTGGGAAACTTATCATGCTTATATTGAAGTTTGTTGATACATGTTGTGGAATTCTTGGCAGATGAAAGCAAAAGCAGTAAGAGGGAAAACAGACAACTCAATGAGCAAGGACTCCCTGGAGGACAGTGTGTATTTCACTTCCTACTTTTACATGGATTTTACAGTAACATGTATACACAGTAATATAAAATATTTCATTTCATTTCATGTTTTGTTAACATAATTTATCTTACAATTATAAAAATAATTTGTAACATAAAAGTGACACCTTTGTTTTGTAAACAGAATTTTTTTTAATCTGACAGTGTGTAAAAAAAATATGAAAAATGTAATCATGTTAACAATGGTCAACAAATTTTTTTTTTTTTGACAATAAAAACCTTCAGATTACTGTGTTTAATTACACACTGTTAGATAAAAGTGACATCATACATTGTTGTTAACTGACATATTATTTTCTATTTTTAATTAGTATCAGAGAAGTCAGAAGAGGAAAGCACAAAAACAAATGAAAAGTAAGAGTTAATTTCTGGATGAACTTTATCTTTTTACCATATTAGCATATCGATCTGGAGATTGTCTGAATATAAATTGAGGATTTCATACACAGTATCACTTACTGTAAATCAACTGTTATTTCCTTGCGAAAAATGTCATTGTTAACCACATTAACTGACATATATATTTAATCTCCTGAATAAAAATTGACGCAACACAATCATTTCGCTAAGTAAGTAAAGAAATTTATTTACAGAAATTTCATTTTTCATAACATATTTCACACTCATATTATAGAAAATTAAAGGTGACACAAATAATATTTGGTTTACAATAGCTGCTATGATACTTTTTGACATCATGAATGACAGTTTGAGGATTTTATATCTTTCCACAGTAACCATTAATATCAGGATATTTATTTATTAATTTGTGCAAATGAATATACAGTCATATTTAATTAACATTTGTGAGCTACAGTGCAGAAATAAAGTATAAAGCGATCTCCCTGCTGGTGTTTTGTAGGCGAGGCCTCGGTGGAACTAGGAGTAGTGCGGAACCTTCACAGAACGGAAGAACTGGTAATTTCACAGTCTATTTACATCTCACATGATTTAAAGATAATTTTATATATGCTAAGGTTGCAGGGATTACAATTTAATGCTTATTAATTAACATCTGATCATGTTCATAGGTTTAGAATAAGAGTTATCTCTCTTTGTGTGCAGGAAAACACACAATGCCTGGCATGGAGACTTTAGATGAAATGGCAGAAAAAGAGAAATTTTTTCAGGTAAATATTTTTACTTAAAAACTTTGAGAGTTAAATAAAAAAAATCTTATTAAGTCTCTTTTTATTTAATCTTTGCTAAATCTGTGAGAATTTGTTTCAAAACAAGGTGCATCATCATTCTCATGTTTGTAAAAATACAGTAATTACAGTTATCTAAATTAAGCACTTCTTTGACATTTGGGAGGTAAACTTTCATCCATTCTGAGAACAAATAAAACAAGCAGACAAATTTCAAGATGTTTTAAAGTATACCAAACATAATTGCAATGTTTGATTGATAGGAAGTTTTTTTCCTGCTACAGTAAAACTCGTTTTGTACGAACACGGATATTGCGAATTTACGGATATAGCTAAGTCATTTTGGATCTCCAGCTATATAGATTTAATGAATTTCTTATACGGTTATAACAAATTACTGATATAACAAAGTAATTTCAAAGGTCCCAGCGACTTCGTTATAACCGAGTTTTGCTGTATATGGGTAAATTTCTTTAACCCATTTTTAAAGTTTATTTGCAAAGTAAACTTTTAGAGGACTTGTATTAGTGAATTTTTACAGGACTAGTAGTTGTAAAGGAAACTTTACAGGACTTGTATTTGAAAACTTTTACAGGACTTGGAGAAGAATGCGTCAGGTGAAACTCTGGATTACAGCAGAATGAACCGCGACCTGAGTCAGAGTGCCACCACCATGTCACCAGAGGGCGCCGCTAAAGCTGCCGCCACGCTCGCCGCACTAGAGGACATAGAACAGGAGGAGGAGGGATCACTCCACCCTCCACAGAAATCTGAACCAATCACAGACCATGTAAGTCTGAACCAATCACAGACCATGTAAGTCTGAACCAATCACAGATCATGTAAATCAGATCCACTGATCATGTTACTGTAGATCAATAAATTTTCACAACACCTTATTTTCCTGAATAAATCTTCATTTATTACATGCAATAAAAGTATGAATATGCTACCAGCAAGATCAATGGACCTATTTAAGTTGAAATCAATTGAAAGTTAGGAAAAGCAATGTTTTAAAGTTTGAACACATAAAAATAATTTGAATTTCCACTAAAATATGCTAGAGATGCTGATTGTATCAATCGCCCATAAAAAGACCTTAAGATTTTGAAAAACATATCAAAATATCCAAAATAAATGAATTTATCAAAATGAATGTGTTTTGTTTATTTCAGGATCCGTCTGTTCAGAAACCCAGCATGTTGTCAAAAGGTATGTACTCATTCAATGTTTCTTAAGAGAAGAAAAAAATCAGTACTATGCCTATTTTTTCATGGCTTGTTGATCATGTGACCTTGTATTATTTATAGTGTCTCTGATGGATTCCATGGATTCTACAATGAACACAACAGGTTCCCCTAAAGTCGGGGGTACGCTGCAGGATCCACGGAAATCGGAGGGACTGGATGATGTAGACGGACAGATTCATGTCCAACAGTCCACGCCAGGGTCATTCAAAACGGGAACAGGTAAGGCGGAGTGTTCTTCTGGTATTACTGGGCTATAATTAGAAATACTTTAAGCAGAGTATTTTGAGGGTTTTTCATGTCTTCATTGCCTTTAAATGGGAGTTAGTTACCGTGGGGTAAGGTATAGGTTTTATAATCAGAAGAATAAAATTTTTCTCTCCACTAATGTTTGATAATACAGTAGTGATGTGTTTTATTGAAAGGCAGAATATAAACAAGGGCAATTTTAAGGTTTGCTAATGTGTAAAATTCATTTTTTTTTAAATTAAGGTATTGAGCAGTAATAGTTAACAGTGGGTTCATTTAATATGTGGTGTTAATTTTAATTATCTTGGTAGATGCTTCTTATGATTTTTTAAAAAGACAATATGTTTGTCAACAGGGAAACGGTCAAGTAAGAAAAACTGTAGACTAATAGTCATGTAACAAACGTATTCATGTATCTAGATGAAAATGTATCAATACCTAACTTCTCATTAAACTGGAAATCTTCTAAAAGTTTTAAGACAATTTCCGGTTTAAATAGATAGGAGCTAGTTTATTTATTTACATAATCATTAGAGTTTAGGGTAGACTGAATTAACAGTTAACCAAGTAATGTTTATATCACTGTGACTGAGGTGTGTAAGGGAAGGGAAGTAACTCTTGGTTATGGTTATTGTCAGCTAGAGTTATTTGTATGTTTGTTTTTAATACAGTCATGTATGTAAACTATGTGTTTCAGTGCAGAGTTACAAATTGGTGATGGATATATCATGCTTATTTTTTTTATTAATGCATTTTATTGATAGAGCTAAGCGTTGGAAAATATTGAATCAAAGTACAAGACACTAATAAAAATAGCCAAACATGCCTCTTAAAGAATAAGGCAAGGAAATTGTTAAATTACTGGTTTTGCTTGACAGGAGAATTCAATGCCCGAATGTCAGGTATACTTCAGTCATATCATGAGAGTCACATGAATAAAAAATGATCACATGATCAAAATGTCACATGATCAAACTTCATGAATGATAAGAATTGACATCATATGGATTTCATACACATTACTAATTCCATCATGAATTATGATTGAATATAAATCTATCATAAATTATGATCAATTTTAAATTCATATAATCAGTAAAAAGAAGTGTTACCCGCTTGTTGCAGTGGATTGAGCATTTGCTCTCGAGTCTCAGAATAAGGAGTTGATACATACGGTGCAGGTTCGAATCCCACTGTGGGACGTGGAGACCATTTTTGGATAAGACCATATAAACTGAGTCCCGTGTCATAGTAGGTGTTGGTACAAAAATGATCCATCACTGCTCAGTGGCCCTGAGTGCCTAGCATAGGATAAAATTTGTAGCTCTCCATCAGCAAGATGTGGCATTTCCATATGAATGAAAAATTTTTAGAGGGATGTTAAATAGTATGCAGAAAAACAAATGAAATAAGAAAAGTACAATGTAGCATTATTTTACATCCAATGAGAAAGTAATAGAATTTTTTGTGTGGATTCATGTTATCCCCTAGATTGTCTAAATGTAGTGTTAAAAAAATGTTATAAAATTAATATCGTATGGCTCCTTTAATAAATTAGGTGTCTTCTGTGCATACAAGATCCTCTTAGCATGAATAGATTTTACATTTTTATGTTCATTTATATTTCATTTTATTTTTTGTATACAATGTAACTCAAGAACTTTAAGACATAATTATTGTCACAAATTATCTTTGCACAAGTAACTTGTTATATCTGCAGTTTAAAAAAAAACATTGTCATATTTTTGTTTGCATTATTCTTTTAATAAAAATTATTCATTTTTCTTTTCTAAAACAAACAATATCAAGATTTAATAGCATTTTAATTGAACCATAAAGAATTTAAACAAAACCACATAATCATTAAATTTTCATGTGTGCTGTAACAAAGCATTGTACTTTCTGTCAGATATGTGTGCATAGTATTTAACTCTCATGCAAATATGTAAGATTTTTTTTTTAAATTTGTAAATAAAATGTTAACATTTAGTTTTCAATTTGATAAACTTTTCACAACTTCTTCTCAAGAACCACTAGGCCAATTTTGACCAAACTTGGTACAAAGCATCCTTGGGTAAAGGGGAATTTAAATTATTAAAATGAAGGGACATATCCCCTCGCAAGGGGAGATTTGTTGAAAAGACAAAAATAGGGTGGGGTCATTAAAAAATCTTCTTCTCAAGAACCACTGGGCCAGAAAAGCTGAAACTTATGTGGAAGCATCCTGGGGTAGTGTAGATGCTAAATTGTTCAAATCATGACCCCAGGGGGAAGGGCGGGGCCACAATGGGGAATCAAAGTTTTACATAGAAATATATAGGAAAAATCTTTGAAAATCTTCTTCTCAAGAACCACTGGGCCAGAAAAGCTGAAACTTATATGGAAGCATCCTGGTATAGTGTAGATTTAAATTGTTCAAATCATGACCCCCGGGGGAAGGGCGGGGCCACAATGGGGAATCAAAGTTTTACATTGAAATATATAGGAAAAATCTTTGAAAATCTTCTTCTCAAGAACCACTGGGCCAGAAAAGCTGAAACTTATGTGGAAGCATCCTGGTATAGTGTAGATTCTAAATTGTTCAAATCATGACCCCCGGGGGAAGGGCGGGGCCACAATGGGGAATCACAGTTTTACATAGAAATATATAGGAAAAATCTTTGAAAATCTTCTTCTCAAGAACCACTGGGCCAGAAAAGCTGAAACTTATGTGGAAGCATCCTGGTATAATGTAGATTCTAAATTGTTCAAATAATGACCCCCGGGGGATGGGTGGGGCCACAGTGGGGAATCAAAGTTTTATAAAGAAATATATAGGAAAAATCTTTGATAATCTTCTTCTCAAGAACCACTGGGCCAGAAAAGCTGAAACTTATATGGAAGCATCCTGGTATAGTGTAGATTCTAAATTGTTCAAATTATGACCCCCGGGGGAAGGGCGGGGCCACAATGGGGAATCAAAGTTTTACATTGAAATATATAGGAAAAATCTTTGAAAATCTTCTTCTCAAGAACCACTGGGCCAGAAAAGCTGAAACTTATGTGGAAGCATCCTGGTATAGTGTAGATTCTAAATTGTTCAATTAATGACCCCCGGGGGAAGGGCGGGGCCACAATGGGGAATCACAGTTTTACATAGAAATATATAGGAAAAATCTTTGAAAATCTTCTTCTCAAGAACCACTGGGCCAGAAAAGCTGAAACTTATGTGGAAGCATCTTGGTATAATGTAGATTCTAAATTGTTCAAATAATGACCCCCGGGGGATAGGTGGGGCCACAGTGGGGAATCAAAGTTTTATAAAGAAATATATAGGAAAAATCTTTGAAAATCTTCTTCTCAAGAACCACTGGGCCAGAAAAGCTGAAACTTATGTGGAAGCATCCTGGTATAATGTAGATTCTAAATTGTTTAAATCATGAACCCCAGGGAAAGGGCGGGGCCACAATGGGGTATCAAATTTTTACATAGAAATATTTAGGAAAAATCTTTGAAAATCTTCTTCTCAAGAACCACTGGGCCAGAAAAGCTGAAACTTATGTGGAAGCATCCTGGTATAATGTAGATTCTAAATTGTTCAATTAATGACCCCTGGGGGATGGGTGGGGCCACAATGGGGAATCAAAGTTTTATATAGAAATATATAGGAAAAATCTTGGAAAATTTTCTTCTTAAGAACCACTGGGCCAGAAAAAGTGAAGCTTATGTGGAAGCATTCTGGGGTAGTGTAAATTCTAAATTGTAGAAATCATGACCCCCGGGGGAAGGGCGGGGCCATTATAGGGAATCAAAGTTTTACATAGAAATATATAGGAAAAATCTTTGAAAATCTTCTTCTTGGGAACCACTGGGCCAAAAAGCTGAAACATATGTGCCCATGGAAGGATCATGTGGTAGTGTAGATTTCAAAATGTCTAAATTATGATCAGTGGGGTAGGGTGGGGATGCATTATGTATAACAAGGGTGAAATCTGGTAAAGAACAGAATGGTCAAAGCTTCTCAGGTGAGCGATGTGGCCCATGGGCCTCTTGTTTAAAATTTGTATGTAAACTGTAAACATTTAGTATTCAATTAGATAAAGCATAATTTATTCAATTTTATTTTATGAAACACTTTCAATATGATAATTACATGTAAGTTAACACATATATTTTTTAATGTTAAGATTGCATATCTGTATGACTGTATCTAATTTCTTTTTTAAAACTGGTTCCCTGGTTTTCAGGTTTTATGGGAACCAACACCAGTAATGAGATTGAGGCTCTACACAAAGCCTTAAGGGAGGTGGGGCTCTCCCCAACTATAAAGAATGACAGCCAGCCTCTGGACTCTTCACTGGCCAACAACTCAGAGCTGTTACAGAAGATTTTATCTGCTGAGCCAGAGAAAGGTTTGTCCAATGGATGGTTTATTTTGAATTTCTTTGCTTCACTTGAACAATTTTACTTCACCTATGGTGCATGTTATCTGGTTGAAAGACACGCTTTACAACCGGGAGACCCTAAATGAATGCTTTTACTCATCTTTATGTTAAATGATAGTGGAAATTTTAACTTCAATCTTAATTAAAAACCCTTGGTCCAGTAAAATGACACATAATCAAATCCAGGAAATTTTGCACACAAAACCTTATTATATAAATGAATTTCAAATCAACTCCTAGGACTATTCTTTTGACAAATTGTCCAAAGTCAGGAATGTTTCAATACATCTTATCTATCAGAGTCAATCTGATTTTCCTACAGGTAAACAGAGAACTGTGGAGGAAGTCCTACAAGAAATGGATGACATTGAGAAGCGTAACCGAGGTAAACAAGGGGAGGAGGACATTCAGCTGCTGTCTGACAAGAAAAAGGTTCCAGCTGACAGTAAGTTTTGTATCCTTTTCTGAACTTTGGTATCTTAAATAATGATTTCCTGAATACCATGGATATTTTAAAGTGATTTGGAAACCACTGACTATAATATTTAGAATTTTACCCTTGACATCTTAAATCCTTGTGTAAATCAAAACTTTTTTTACAGGTCCTATTCAGTCCAAGATAATGAGGTTTTACTGTATACCGTTTTTTCAACTTATGAAAAAAAAACAACTTTTGATTGAAAATTTTAGTCTCATATATTTCAGGAATAAATAACTTCTAAAAGAGGAAGGGGAGATGTTAAAAACAAATTTCATTATACCCTTTACCTATTCAAACTATTGTTACAATTATTAATAATGAATTTAAATTTTCAGTTTAACTTAATGAGAACTTTTTTCTTCCTCAAGGTGAGCGTAGAATGGAGGAGATTCGAGGGTTCGGCCTGTCCCCGATACATCAGGACCACTCCTCCCCCCGGGGGTTTGATCAGTCCCACACAGAGGATACAGAGATGTACCAGCCCGTCACTCAGATTGTAAGTCTTAACAGTCTATAGTACATAGCGAAATACATAGAGTATAAGTCACTGGGCTCAAACTTCAACTAAGCCAATGAAAGTTATTGTACCAATTAATGTACTTTTATTTGCCATAAAAGTTTAGCTAACTTTGAATATAGTGGTGATAATGGAATAAAAGGAAGAAACCAGAATTTTATAGAAGATAGTTTTTGAGAAGGAATATATGACATCTATTATTTATTGCAAAATATAAAGTTTAGCTCAAAGTAAACTTAATGTAAAGTTAAAGTCAAAATAATTTCTTTCATCATAAGGGTTCCAAGCTCAAGGTGAGTTGTGTGTTGTGGGATAAAATAAGTGTGACGTTAAACACTTGTATGTAACAATGAGTAAGTGTAGAGGTCTTCACATGAGCTGTGTGTGTAGCTAACTTTTGTAATTCAGTTTGCTCACATCTTTGGTTGTGCATGTGTTCAATCTGTAAGGTAACAGGATTTCTGAACATATTTTTTGCATGGATATGCTAGTGTTACCTGGTAAAGTGAAATCAGATCAACCTTATTTTAAAGCTACATGTAAATAAGAAGCTACTGTAAGTATAAATGTACATGACATTGAAAGTATACTTTGAAACACTCTGTGATAAAGGGGTGTTACTGTTATCTTTCAGTGTTATTGGAATAGACCAATTTTACATTTTTGTAAATAATTCGATTTAATTTTATAAAAATTATCATATCAATTTTAAAATTGTGTCAACTCTGAAAGTGCACAGTTTTACAAAGATTTAAAGATATCAATACAATATACATGCAAGTACAAGTACATGTAAATAATTCAAATTGAATTCAATGAATACAGTGAAACCTGTCAGTGTCTAATCCAACATGCACTTGGAGACAAATTTTGTGTCGGAATAGACAAGGTGTCGGATTGAAAAGTGTGAAATAACATTAAGATTAGTAAAATAAATGGGGAAAAAATTTAAGGTCCGAATTTACAGTGTGACGGATTTCACAGGTGTCAGATATAGACAGTTTTTACTGTAATTACTTGCTTTTTTTCCCAAAACAAATGCCTATTGTGTAAACTCTCTTAAATTATCATTGTTGAACCTCCCACTTTGTTGAAATTAGACTCTATTGTGTATTATTCTTAATAAAATTGTATTTTGGATCGCTTTAGTATATAGAAATAAAGGAAAAAATCTCCAGATATAGGTTGAGCGTCACGTAATATTTTACACGATTTTACAAGTAAGTATGATTTGTTTTCCAGTCAATATCAGAGAGAGGGAGGACAAAAAAGAAAGATTCTAAAGAGAAGAAAACAAAGTCCAAGAAATCATCTCCAATGTCTCCCGGTCACAGTCTGTCTCCAAGGTCATCACCAAGGAGATGGATGTCACCAAGGTCAAACACTGCCAAGCTGGATGAGAGGTCAAGGTCATTATCTCCCACCAAGCCAGGTAATTTACTTTTTTTAAGTATTTATGTTGAAGATGATGGTGATGTTTTTTTTTGAAAATTTTTGTTATTTTGAAAAGTATTAAAAGATACCTCCAAGCAGTGATACAGTGTAAAGTATTACACTGCGCAATCAAGTTACCTTGTTCTTAGACTTAAAAAGTGTATTTAAGTCTTACACTTATAGCATCACCAGGGTGAAATGATATTTCATTTAGACGTCAAGGAATTGAATTTAAAAGATTAATAGATATTGAAATTATTGCTATAAAAATCGTGCATTATATCTTTGCCTAAATTAAACATGTCATTGAGTAACAACTGAAGTTTTCTCTTTTTTTGTATCCAGGTTCAACCCTGAAGAACAAATACAGCCATATAAAGAGTTCTGGGTATGGTCAACAGTCCCCTGGTAGAACCCCCAGTAGAGAGAGGCCCTCCAGTGCCAAGGAGAGGGGGACCCTGAGGGGAGAGGAACACAGAGGGGCCCAGCAGGGGGGAAAGGAAGGGGCTCAGGAGAGGGTAACTAGGAAGGAGAGGAAGCCTGGGGTAGGAGGGAGAAAGAAGGGACAGACCTGGTCCCCGGCAGATATCTCACGACAGAAGATCATAGGTAGATGTTTAGTGAATATACAGTAAAAGAAAAGGTCATCTGAGAGTGTTAAGGATATAAAATTCCTTGTTTAGGAAGAAGCTTTGGATCAACTTCACTGACACATGTAGATTATAAGGCTTAGCATTTTTCTCATGAATTAAAAAGATATTTTAAATTTTTTTATGTGTAAAGATTATGTTTAGATTAAACACTCTGTCGTATTTATCATTATTTGAGTGAAAATCAAAAGACATTTTGCAGTTTTCAACTAAAACCACATTTTATAAGTTTTGGCAGTAATTTTGATGTTTGCTTGCTACTGTGTACAAAGTTGATTTGTTGTTTGGTTATTTAGGTTCCGAGTCTCCAAAACAAAGCCAGGGACATAAGACTGGTCTGGATTCCCAGCTCAGGGTCTCAATCGAGTCATTCGCTGCTTATGTAGCGGACCACTTCACTCCAACTAAAGGAATGCCCAAGGTAAAAGAAAAATAAATCAAATATGCTTAAAAAACATTGTCTCTATATTTTGCTGAGTGTTGTCAAATATTACAATACTTTTTTATATTTAGGTGTATTATTTAAGGTACTTAAGGTGTTGTAAGCTATAAGCACTTCTTTTTTTTTTTTTTTTTTTTTTTTTTGCTATTGATAAAAGTTTTTTCAAGGTAGAAAGCTTTTTTTCTGTGGTAGGCTAAATACTCAGAAGACGAACCATCTTTGGCAGCCAGCTGGAAGGGAGATAAATCTGTGGAGGGTTTACCTAATGACCTGGAAGAACTCCAAAACCTGGTGCTGTCAGAAAGAAATGCCAATCAAAAGCTCAGAGGTAATCTAAGTCTTTTTAAGAAAATAAAATAGGGAAATTTAGAAAATGCATCAACATGGTTAATCTACACATGCCTATTTTTTTCTTTTGATTTATCAAAATGTGCTTTATACAATATTTTGCTCCATGAATAGATTTAAAAAAATGTAGAAACATTAAACAGCATCGAATATTTTATTTGATTTTGCAGAAGACCTTGAGAATTCTGTGAAACGTCATGAGAGGGAGTTTGAGAAACAGAAACTGAAATATGAAGAGGAAATCCACAGACTCAAACAGGAGAATTATGTCCTGTCTGCTAAGGTTTGTGGCTGGAGGGAGATTAAAAATAAGACCTGTTTCCATGTTTTGTGTTCTAGCTCCACACTGTTGTACATTTAACATAATGTTTGCCACTAACCTGATAAAAGAAATTTTTAAGAGTATTTTTTGATACTGCCAACCAATTTTTACTCACACGAGAAGTATCAGTGAGTTTCATGACGTACTTGAAGTCGCGAATATTAATTGCCTTGAGGCATTTATTTGTTTTGCAGAGCAGGTTTCTTCAGTCATGAAAATTAATTGACACTGATTAATTTCCAACTGAGGAATCAAGATTAAAAGATGATACATGTACAAATAATACTTGGTTTACAGAAGTCTATTATAAAAACAGAAAGGAATGAAAACCAGTTGTTCACACCTGACAAACATGGAAATTAGGAAATCCTGTAAAGGGAATATAAACTTAAATACTAAAATCTATGCATTTTAAGTAGAATGTTTAAACTATGATTTTTTTACAGATACCCGGGGACAAAGACGAATTAAAGAAACAAGTGCTGAATGGAGGAGCTGGTGAGATCAGCACAGAACAACTAGAACGTCTGAAGAAAGATCTACAGGAGCAGGAGAGTCTGATAGCAGGGTACCAGCAGGAGAACCAGCGACTGTACGACCAGGTCAAGGTCTTACAGAAACAGGCCAAGGTCACAGAGGAAAGGATGTTTGATGAAAACCAGAGACTGCAGACTGAACTCGCCAATCTCAGGTGAAAGGCATAAATAAACTGATGAAATTAATTGTAATGTTAATGTTAGAAATCTGTATAATCACAGTACCTGTTGTAGATTGTGTGTACGTTTTGTGATATATATGCTTGATTAAAGAGATATTATATATATATATATATTATCTATATTATGGAGTTATATATACAATTTCTATATATAAATACACCAGGTAAAAGTATTTACATTTGTATATATAGAAGGGTATTATATATATCTCTCTCAAAAATCAAGCATATAACAGTAAATAACCTACGAAATTAAGGTGCCAATAGAAATATCAACTAAATTGTGTGCCTGCTGATAAATCAGAAATAGTGATTCTGCGGAATTATGTTCATATGAAAAAATATGATAAACTTTACATTGTGAATAATATCATTTTACTATAAGATTTTTAGGAAAAAAAAATGTATAGAGGGTCCTATAAAGTACAGGATTTATAAACAAGATAAATATAAGACCTACAAGTATTTTAACAGAGAAAAGACTGGTGAAGTTGAAGATGTTCCTCTGACAAAAACCAGAGCCATAAAGCCAGACAAGGCAGCCCCTGATATAAGCACAGCCCTGGGGGTGGGGCAGATAGCAGAGTTAGAGGCGGAATTAAGGGAGTTCAAGGTTTGTCTTCCTCCTAGGTCATAGGTCAAAAATCAAGGTAGTGAAAAAAATGTTAACTAATTTATTTTCTAATGTTCTACTTAATTTGGTGTAGAAATATACAATTTTTTAATCTGTTTTCAATCAATTTTGAACAGAGAAAAGAGGCAGCCATGAAACGTGAGCTGGAGATCTTACAGAGAACAAAAATAGAGTTAGATCAGCAGATGGATAAACTGATCAAGGAAAGAGAACTCTTACAAGACAAATTAGAGAAGGCTTCATATCCAGAGGATGTCAGGGTAAGCCACAGTTATCTTCCATTGATTACATTTTTGATCAGGTTTTATGGAATGACTATCTAGTTTTTTTTTTTTGCTTTGTTTTTTTTTAAATTTGTTTTTAGGTTTTATGAACTCATGTGATCAAGAAATAGCTTTTTTGATAATTTCCATAAATGCCGATGACATTAATGCATAAAATTGCAGTGCTTGATTATCATCATTTAATCAGAAAAGTTGACAGTTATTCCTTACATTATTGTTTTTGTCACATGATCTCGAATAAATCAGGTACACACAGATTGTGTCATCAACATAAATAAAGGCGCATGTTTTAAAAAATTAAATCAAAGTTTTTTTCAAGAATATTTAAGAAGCAATAATTGAGTTATGTTTATTTATTGTGTATAGTACAAATCGGAAGCTTCAATATTATAGATTGTTAATCACATATATAGAAGATATTGGATGACACCATGTCTATTCATAGAAGCGCATGTTATCTTACGGATCGTTGTTTACTAGCATTTTTCATTTCCGAGATTAAGAGTCAAGAAGTATCTTGAATGCAAATATCGTCATTAAAAAAAAAACAATTGCTGATTAGTCGACTGATTGAGAAAAAAAACGCAACTTCTATGAACACTATGCCCATGGTTCATAAGGAGAGTAGCGTATCAGAAACCCTTGGCTAGCGAAGATGAATTTGTATATGAAGGGCATGTATAAAGAGCGGGTTTATGGACAATTTGTAATTGTTTTCAAGATCTCTATTGCATATACATGTACATGTTTTATATAGCGTAAGCTACATATATATTCCTTACTTTACTGTAGAGGTTAGAAGACAGATATAAAGAGGAAGTAGAGAGACTTAACAGGAAGTTAAAGTGGTATGCTGAAAACCAGAAAATGTTGGACCAGGACACCAAGAAAATGAAAGCTAAAGAAGAGGAGATTATTTTAAACTTAAGTGTAGAAATATACAATTTTTAACTGTTTTCAATTAATTCTGAGGAAGAGAGACCAACATCTGTATCAAATAATCCTTCCTTCTCCCCCCCCCCCCCCACACACACACACAAAAACACCCCCTCCATCCTTACTCACACAGAGGCAATGGTGGAAGAAGCATAATAGAATGAATTTAACATAAACTTGTATATTTGTACATACAGTATATGAATATATTGTACATGTACATGTTTAAAATGTAAAATGGGATTTATCTTCAAAAGGCCAACAATAGAAAATAAATAGATTGACTTGCTCCATTTCTTTCACCACCATCTTCGCTAGCCAAGGGTTTCTGATACGCTACTCTTCTCATAAACCCTTGGCATACGTGAAGTCAAAAGACGGGATTGTTTTCCGTCACGTGATCTAGAAGACAGATATCAGGTACGCACAGATTAAAGTCATCGCCAGAAATAAAGACACGTGTTAAAAAAAAATTAAATCAAAGTTTATTCAAGAATAATTAAGAAGCAATAATTGAGTTATGTTTATTCATTACACATTCATTATTTATACAAACAAATCTGAAGCTTCAATATAGATATATTAATCACATATTTAGAATATATTGGATGACACCATGGCTATTGTTATCTTACGAATCGTTGTTTACTTGCGTTTTTCATTTCCAGACAATAAAGAGTTTTTTGAAGATGTATCCCGAACGCAAATATTTTTTGTCATTTACAAAAAACAATTGTATATTATTTTTAAACCTGGGTGTACTGAAATCCAATCAGTAAACTGAATTTTTAAAAAAAAATTAATTGAATCTGTTTATGAACACTTTATAAACCAAGGGTTTTAATGGAAGTAAGTTTTTCAAAATTTAGAAACCCTTCAATCTTTCAAATAAAAATTTCACCACAGTATTTTAAATTTATTTTTGCAGGGACGTACATCTTACACTAAGATAAGCTTTTATCATTTCTTTTAAACAAATATTAATGAACCTTTTTATTACAAAAAATAGGATTAGGATCAAATTATCTTCACAAACACATCTCGTAGTTACAAGCATTGTTCACATGATAGTACTTGACTGCTTAATGTTAATTTCTTTCTTTACATGTATTTGATTTTCTTCACTTTACCACTGTCACACTCAGCCACAAAGAGGTTGTCTCTGGTGTCTACACATAAACCCCATGGATGCTGTAGATCACAGTTATCAATGTAACGGAGGAACTGTCCGTCCTGATCTAGGATGTGGATACAGTCGTTGATATTGTCTGCTGTCAGGATGTGACTCTGGCTGTCTGTTGTGATGCCAACGGGATTGAATGATCCCATGTTCGAAGTGGGATGACCAGAGTATCTAAATCGGAGTTTTCCTGCCTGATTAACCACCACTACTGCATTAGCTTCAAAGTCAGCCACACAGATATCCAGGTTCCTGTTCTCACTGATGTATTTAAGAATACCAGCTGAATACAGAGGTTTACTGTCACTATCAAACTGAATGGTTTGTTTCTCTGTGGAGCCAGAGTAACAGACAACTTTTGATTGTTTATTATCATCACTGACCATGGTTACCAGGAGTTCACCAGAGGAGGTACTACAGACATTGTGTGGTATCCACCCCTGTAGTCTGATCACTTCCTGTATCTGCTCATTCTTCACTATGTTTACAGTTCTTGTATCAGGGTCAGTATAAACTAGATCTCCACTCCTTGTCACTGCTATATCCTGTGGTATTTTCCCTGACTTGGTTTGGATTGACTTCAGTAGTTTACCCTGGAGGTTGAAGAGTTTCATGATTTTGTCATGTCCACGTGTCCAGATTTCTTCATCACTGAGACAGGTAACATTGTAAAGTAGTCCAGTGTCTATGATGGTGATGAGCTCTGGTTCATCAAGCAGTGGTTTGACTGGAGGACAGGATACAGCTTCTGGTGTCTTCATTGTGTAGCCATGTTCTTCTGTTGTGATGGATAATGCTGACAGAGAACCAAACATTTGATGGAACTGTTCTGTGTTGATCTGATGAGGAGAGAGATTTGGTAATGAAACATTGACTTTAGGGGGTAAACTTCTAAACTCAGCATTCCTTGATTTGTATGCAGTGGTTAGGGAGACATCATTGGTGTCCAGTATTTTTTTCAGATCAACAATGCACTGTTTTATATCAGAAGTAATCTTTTTGATTTCCTTTTCCTGTTTATTTAGAACAGCCAGGTGATTAGTTTTCATCTCATCAATTTCAGATTTCTGTTTGTTGACAATGATGTTAATTTCTCTGTGCCAGTCTTCTCCTTGTTTGGTGACAGCTGTTGTCAGTTTCTCATAATGTTTTTCCAGGCCTGTTTTTTCTCTCTGTATCTCTGCTGAAATTTCTTCATATTTAGGGCATATTGAATTTAATAATTCATCAACATCTTTTTCTATGGCCTCTTGTTTGGATTTATTTACCTCCAGTAAATTCAATAAATTATGTCCTTTGTGGAAGTTGGATGAAAGACAGAGTAAACAAACAGGAAGGTCACATTCCTTACAGTGAAGTTCACACAGTTTTCCAACATGGGTTGGACATTTGGGATATTTGGGTGTAGTTCCCCTTTGTTTGAATGGCACCACTTTATGTTCTTTAGATAAATCAGATAAATGCTCTCCTACACAGGCCTTACAGAGTTTGACGTGACAAAAGTCACAGTACATTGGAGGAACAGGAGTCTCACACAGGTCACAGCGCAGGACATCTTGAGCACTAAAGTGTGGGTCCATTGGGAAAGCTTAGGAAGCTGTATACCTAGAAAAAGTAAATTTGAATAATTGGAAAAAAATAACTTAACAATATTTAATGTAAAATTAAATAAATCCAGATCATGTTCCATTTAGAAAAGAATAAAACTTGAAAATCCCCAAGAACCCCCCTTTTTCCCTTCCAAGTATCAAAAAATAAAATAATCTGTGAACAAAATTTAAAAAAAGCTGTCCAAAGTTAATTTTACATTTAAAGTCAACCCTTTGCATATTTTTTGGAGAAAATGGCAATTTGAAACCAGAAGTCTAGAAAATGTTTATAATTTTTTAATCAAAAACCATTGCACCAAATTTTATGTATTTAATATATCAATGTTCTAAAACTTGTGTGCCAACTTTTTTGAAATACAATCTTTCATATTAATAATATTAAGACGATTTAAATGAAGGCCGAAAATTCTATTTTTAGTAACCATGGTAACAATGTTATCGCATCAATAACCATGATAACTATTACATTTGCTTTTATTTCTTTAGTACTGTATAATACATTGAACTCAAATTTAAATCAATTAAACCAGAATAAAAATCTTCATATCATGTTAAAATTTCATAAAAAATTTCACAGAAAATGTCATGATTTTTAGTAACCATGGCAACACTGTTCATCTAAATCAAAAACCGATGCACGCTATATGTATCTTAGACGTAATTAATTGTGTGCCATAGTTATATTGAAATACACCAAAACTGTAAAAAGAGTAAAGAAGTGATATTACACAAATTTAACAGAAAATTCTATTTTTATATTTCACCATGGCAACACCGTTCATCGAAATCAAAAAGTTAAATACGGCATGTATCTTAGTGTAGAGTACTTGTGTGCCAAGTGTAATATTGAAATCAGACCAAAACTGTAGAAGGAGTAGCGTTTTTAAGGAATTTCACCAAAAATTCTATTTTTAGTAACCATGGCAACAAAATCTAAATTAAAAACCGATGGGCAGTATTTTATATATCTTGTTAATCACTTGTGTGCCAAGTTATATTGAAATCAAAAAAATGTAGAATGTTAATAGCGTTTTTAAGGAATTTCACCAAAAATTCTATTTTTAGTAACCATGGCAACACCGTTCATCGAAATTAAAAACCGATGCACTATTCTATTTTTTCTTAATTTTCCTATTGTGTGCCAAGTAATATTGAAATCATGATTATAAAATGTTAGGAGTTGCGTTTTGAAAAAAGAAATTTAACAAAGCAAAGAGAAACAAAACTGTTTTACATGTCTACGACTTTTTGGGACAACCCTCGTAAGTCTGTTTAATGTTAATGCAAAGTTAAATGTCATCCCTTGCATAGGTTTTGGAGAAAATGGCAATTTGGAAAAAAACAAACAAATCCTACATTTTTATACAATCGTGTAATCTTTCTCTTCTGATTTGTTCCTGATTACATCAGTTAAAGTGTATGATCACTCTTAAGAATCTTAAATCAAACGAATCTTTAAATAAATGGGTAGAAGACACAAAATGAGGGCAACATCAAAATGAAGAAAAAACTTTCATTGTATATTTAATAAAATACATCTTATCAAACATGTTTTGAAATTAAACTCTTACGTTTTATTGAGAAGTAAGTTTTCCAACATGGCTGTAATTTGTTTACCTGCCTGTGGGTTTCAATCTTCCTGGTCTATTTATAACTCTCTCAGGTCGGTCCTACCAAACAGAGAACCCTAGAGAACTCAAGGTTTATATTTTGAATTTATATATGATTTATGCATAATTGGATAGATTTTTACTAAATAAAGCATATTTTATTCATAAAATCAATTAAAAAGGTATTTTATGGAAGTTTTCAGCAGAAAAAAAAGTAACAAAATAGAAGGCAAAATATTTTATGACATCCCGATCCCGATTGAATTTCAAAAATTTTTTTTATCACAATTTTCAATTATTTTTCACATTATTTAATATTTAATTTTAATGAAATGTATAATTCTTAATAATTTACTCTGATATTAAACATATTATTTAATGTCTTACTACATGTAGTTTTATTATGAAAGCTATGATGAAGTCTTAAGAGATAATAGAGTACTCTGTTTAAATAAGCAAAAAACTTGTGAAAATATTCTATATTTTGATATAATTTTGTTTTGGCATGATATATTAGTTATCTAGAATATAAATATTGATTTAAATACCTGAATGTAAAGGCCAGTGTTTAAAATGGTTTACTGTGCACAATTTAATATATCAAAATTGATGTTTTATAAATAAACTAATGATAAAATTTTATTAACTATTGTCGTCTGATTGATAATTCTGATTTTTCTTTTGCTAAAACAAGCTTAATTCAGAGAATTTGTGTCCCCTGCTTTAGGAAAAAGTAAAACATGCAGTTCAGGGGAGGGGGGGGGGGGAGAGTAGGATCCCCCTCACTGAATTTGTAGAATTATTACAATGTAAATGTATACATGCATGTATACCGAAGCAAATAAAATATACCATTATGGATTTAAAGATTTAATTGCTTATTCTTTATTATGTGTATAGATAATTCTTTTTATATGGAATATTCATCACATTGTAATGATGATTTTATGAGTTTGTACAAGCCAAAACTCGTAAATTTTTCATTTCATATTCTGAATACTATTATTTATTAAAAAAAAAATGTTTATAAAAAAAAAGTGGTCCATCCATGACTTGAACTTGGGACCTCTCACATGGAAAACGAGAAACATACCACTAGACCACAGTATTGCTTTACATGGAGTCAAGTATATGCAGAAGTTAAGTCGCAAACATGTATATATTCATGTTCGGTATTGTCAAAATGTTATATAGTCCATGGTGTTTGATTTATTTAGCCTTTATTTAACAGTTCTTAGACTAATAGATGTAATAAGAACATAAAGTCTGCCGAGAACCTGTTTTATACACAATAACTCTCCTAATGCCAATGTGCTAAAATTAATGACATGTAATTCTAGTAATACGTCTAATAAAACAAATGGGGGGGGGGGGGGATTTTGAGAGGGGTGAGAGAGGTCCTAGAGAGTTTTGGTATAAAATTACATTGCATAGGTTCAAAATCTTTTTGACATATTGCCGGAAATGATAGTGTTATACAGAGACAGAATGTATAAATTTACGACCTTGAACTTTGACCTTTTGACCTCAAAATCAATAGAGGTCTTCATTAGGCCACATGGAGTTGTATTTCAAAATTTCATTGCAATAGCTCAAATGGTTCTAGAGATATTGTGTAGAAAGGAAAGTGTTATAAAAGACAGGATTTGCTTATTTATAAACTTGACTTTTGACCTTAAAATCAATAGGGTTCTTCTTTAGTCAATAGAGTCAGGGGTTCTGGTCTCTATTGATTATATATTGAAAATGCATTTATTCTTTGAAAATCTTCATCCTGCTTTTGAGTATTAACGTAGAACCTACGTCGTATGACATCATAACTAGTGAATGTGTTTAGTCTGTGCTAGATCCATTATGACGTCATAATTAATTCAATGAAATTTCCCGTACTTTACAGCTTCAGTATAGAAATGATAGAAAATACTGCATTTTGAAATTTACAGAATTCAATTTAAAATCATGCCAAAATAATCTTCATAATATTCGATTTATATATTTTTTAACATAATGCTTAATGACAATATATTTCTTGAATTAGAGAAACCTGTAGGCACCTTTCATTTAACAGATCTTGACCTTAATTAAGTTGACAAATTCAATACTATATTGTGTGATGAAATTGTCATGTATACAACAAACTGTAATAATGTAAATGCACGTAACTTTTTTGAAGGAATGCAAAAATCTTTTTAAAAAATCGTCAGTTGCCAACTAAATAGTGTAATATCTTGATGAAATGTGTCTAAGTAAAGATGTACGTGTTGTAGATTGTGTGTACATTTTGTGATATCTATCATGAAATGATGTGCATTCCTTTTCATAATTATTTGTTACTAATTCATATTCTTGGAGTTTTATCACAAATTCTCTATTAAATAATGATCTTTTAAATTAAAAATACAAATTTTATAAACATTTTCAAGCTGAAAGTAGCCCCGAACAGTCATTTAATAATAAAATCTGTGTAAGTGCAAAAAGGTCAAGAATATTAGTATCGGTAAATAACCTATCTCTCATTAGTTAGAGGGGAAAGGTGTATATTTTAATCACTTTTTGTAATTATTTGGGTATGTTCTTTATCATATTAAAGATTGAAAACATTGTGACAAAGACTTCTGATATATATTTACAAATGTAGGGTGGAAAATTGATTTAAAATAAATAGAGTTCATTTGCCTATAGTTTTGAAAATGTGGACTTATCTTTTATGGCAATTGAATAAAAAAGAATTTATTCTCGGGAAATATTGTTTAATACTGTTCAATTAATAAACAATAAAAACAACCATGTTTAAAGAAGCAATTCTGGGATTTTGTTGTCTTCTTTGCATGACAAGTACCCCTAAAATGACTGAAATTGTGAAGTCGCAATATGTATTTACCATTCCATGTTTAACTGGCTGCACTACATTTAGTAACAAGGAAACATGATATGTGCTTTTAACTGATTGATAAGCAAGTGCTAATTTATCATTATGAAAAGTTTGAAAATCTTGTGACAAAGACTTCTCCGACATAGGTTCTACCTTAAATAAACTAATTAAGCACAAAGTTATGATGAGTAAGAGTGCCTTTTCCAAAATTGTGAATTTAATGGCCCCAGGGTCAGGGGTTCTGGTGTTAGGGTGGGGTTCTATTGATTATATAGTGAAAATGCATTTATTTTTTGAAATCTTTGAAAATTTTCTCTGCTTATGAGTATTAAATAAACTAACTAAGCACATAGTTATGATGAGCAAGAGTGTCATTTCCAAATTTGTGAATTTTATGGCCCAAGAATCGGGGGTTCAGGTGTTAGGGCGGGGACTCGTTTGATTATTGAGTAAAAATACATTAATTCTTTGAAAACATGAACCAAATTTAATTGTTTGAAAGTTGTTACACATACTCAGGTGATCTATAAGGCCCATGGACCTCTTATTTTTAGCTCTACTGGTCAGAGAACAGAAGAGCTTATGCAATAGTAATGCGTTCATTGTCCGTCCGTCTGTCTAGCTGTCTGTCTGTCCATCTGTAAACAATTTTTCAAAATGCTACTTCTCCTGCAGTTTGTGTTCAATTTCAATATAACTTGGCGCACATGTAGACTACACTAAGATACATTATTCTGTGTATTGGTTATTTAATTTCGATGAACGGTGTTGCCATTGTTACTAAAGATAGAAATTTCTGTGAAAGTCATTCAAAATGCTACTCCTCTTACAGTTTTGGTCTGATTTTAATATAATTGGCACACAAGTAGACTACACTAAAATACACAATTCTGTGTAACGGTTTTGATTTCAATGAACGGTGTTGCCATTGTTACTAAAAATACAAATTTATGTGAAAATCATTAAAAGTGCTACTTCTCTTACAGTTTTGGTCTGATTTTAATACAACCTGGCACACAAGTAGACAACACTAATTCTGTGTATTGGTTTTTGTCATTATTCTATTTATTGCTTTTGTAAAGTCCCAATTAAATGCTACTTTTCTCTTTCTTTATTATAAATACAAACCAGTAAAGCTACAGTCTCGATAGAGACTTCTGGTTTTGGTGTGGGTGGATCCCCCGGGAAAAAATTTCTGGATCCGCGCCTGTGCCTAGATGTCCATCTGTCAGTTATTTGTTACTGAATTATTAACAGGTCATAATTTTGATGAGAAAATATGGAGCTTTCACATTTCACATGAGTATTACCTTTGACAAGACTTTACTAAGCATATTGTGAATTTCAACCCTGTGACAACAACACTGGTGTTTGACATTTTTTCAAAATTGTCACATTATTGCTTTTGAATGAGAGAAGATGATGTACTTATATTTAACCTGAGCATTACCTGTGACAAGATCAATATACTATGATTTTTGAGCCAGGTGATTATTTTACCATGATTTTTTTACACCCCACCCCTCTCTAAAAAAGGAATCTGGACCCAAGGTTAACAATCAATAAAAACCCATCAAGAATATGTAACTTTGAACCCTAACTGACAACAGTAAATAAACCCTTTATGATATTAAATTGCCACAGGATGATTTATATTGAGTTGTTTGATGAATTTTGGAGCATTTAATTGTGTCTTCGGTCAAAGGGACAGATGCATTTCATCTTAGATTTGGTCATAATTAAGTATGGCATGGACTTATCTGCAAAGTTTTACTTTGATTAATACATTTATAATTACAGACTGGTAAAAGATTGGAAGAAAATAAAATGAGAAGTACTGAGAGGGCTAAGGATGCCAAGAAAATCCAGGATCTTCAAAGACAGGTGAGATCAATTTCATGTTTTAGCTCATTTGAGTTAAAGTTCAGAGCCGATAAATGAATCTCTGGGAATTGTTTATGCTGTGGGAAATGTCTTGAATTTTATGCAGATGTTTAGTGAGCTCGAGATAAAAGATATTACAGTCTGACACATCTGTTTCATACTTGGATATTTTACTTTAAAAAGATGTTAATGGTAATGTAACAACCAAGCTGTATGATAAACATGATGACTTTAACTTTTCTATCATTAACTTCCCTTACTTATGCGGCAATATACCTTCACCATCTGAATAGGACGTATTTACGTATACCTGTTGATTCTATATGCAAGAGCATGCTCTACA